GAATCAGATCACTTTGGGGCATATAGATGTTTTTTTTTTGTTATAATCAAATTAATTTTGCTCATGCATTTTCTCTGTTGTTGATTCCCCTTTCTTGCTGGACGTGACATATATAATATATAAATGAGAATGTCTGGTGTGTATGTCTCTTTCTCTCTTTCTATATACATGTGTGTGTGAGTGTCACGCACACACGGTGTATATCAAACGATTTTATATATCTGAATTATAACAAAAAGTCGAGTATGTATATTTTTTCTATTTCAAAAGAGAAAACTATTTTAAATAACGGAAATCAACAAAAAATACTTATCCTGTCACACCTGTTGATTTTATTTGCATGTATTAATTCATGGGTGCTATTGAGTCGTATCCTTCATTGGTAGCTGATTCTACACTTTGCTTGTATTTATTTTCTGAGATTAAGCTTTCCGAGTCTATGGTTTCCCGTCTGGAACAACAGGCTCTTATTTTCTGAAAAACGTAAAGCATCAGCAAAGGGATAGGCATCATGATAGAAGCTGCAACCGGCATTACAGAAGCCAGGTCAGCATCTGGTTGCTGTAAAGAAAAACCCAGGAGGACGATGGCAATTCCTGAATTTTGTATCCCGGTCTCAACAGCAATAGCGATGACATCTTCAACTGGTCGACCACTGAAGCAAGTGGCAAGGGCCCCGAAAAGGAATCCAAACCAGACATTAGTGAGAGCTGCTACTACTGTATGCCAAGTGAAAAGCTTAAACATGTAGAGATTGGCGTAGGTTCCGAAAGCTACAATGTAAATGATCAAGATTAAGCAGGTCGGAGCAAGGATACGACGTCCAAACGTTGCCACTTTAGGAAGGTACTTCTGGATCAAAAGTCCAATCCCCAGAGGGATCACCATACTCACCAATGATATAAAAATATTTGTAAATGGAATTTTGGTGGTTCCACTGAAGAGAGTCTTGCCGAGAGTGAAAATCCACAGAGGCATCATAACTGAAATATCAACAATTTTTAATGCTAATAGCCTAAAACAAATTGTATGTACTTTTTCTTACTCCATATTGACATTTCTTTCATATTGTTTTAAATAAAATAAGAGAACTACCATTGATAAATCAATATTTTAAACATATTCTCTGTAATAATTAATAAAACCAAACCACGAACTGAATGCATTCTTTTATGTTTGGAGCATGAAGTTTAGTAATACACGAACTACAGTTATTACTGCTAAATGCAATTATCATGAAATTATACTCTGATTAGTTTTAAGACGTCATACAGACAGTTTACAGCATTATCAACTATGAATATTAAAGATTGTTAATTTACAAAGGGAGAATAGGGATCATCAAAAAGGTACAGAAACAAGTTGAATCAAAATGCAAATATTATGTTTTCAAGCCTACAACTGAGGACTCTTAAAAACATAAACAAACTAGGTTGGAAATAGTTTCTACATTATTTTCCTAGGCTACAAGTCCCTATTTTGACTTCGAGTCTACAGTACTTATCAATTTTAGTGAAGTCAAAATAGGGTTTTGTATCTTGAGAAAATAATGTAGATAATGGAGTCAAAATGGAGATTTGAAAATAATGTGCATTGGCTTCTTTTCCACCCAACCATTATTTACTGAGCTAAGCTGCTTTGTGCCTAAAGTTTTGTGTAAACACGGGTTTAACAAGTGACGAGTACAAAAGCAGCCGCTCAGAACAACACCTTTTATGTTTTTTATAACCATGTAAATCAACTTTCATTGAAAAATAATCAACTTTTAAATAGGTCATGAACATTCACAGCGCTGCATATAGCAAACCTGTTTAGATTTTGGTGCAAAATACCCAGCCGATTTTTCTGAAGGCTTGTGAAACAGTAATATGAATAATTACAACGTGAAAAAGTGGGCAAATTTTGACTTTGTCTAACAACCGTGAAATCACTTATTTTGCATATTATCAATGTTTGGTGTTAACTCTTAACTATTGAAAAGGGAGATTTTGAATGTTGTTTCAAGAATAAGCCTGCTATTTAAGGTAGTTTTTGCCCGAATGTTATATTAGACTTTAGAGTAAATTCCTATGCGATCTTTATTATGAACCACTATCGTGGTTAATGATAGTGCTTTGTGAAATCCTTGAAAATTGCATTCGTGGGCTCCCGTAGGAAGGGGCAAGAGGGGGCATTTGGTCCCTTACATTTCACAAAAAATTGCACGTATTACGATGCAAATTTAACTTTAAGCACACAACACATTTTGCCCCCCTCTTAAAATTACTTCTGTGAACGCCTCTGCTTACATTCTATGCGTGACTAACGGCCAAATTCTACATATAATTTTGTGGATAATGTTAAAACAGTGATGAAATGAAATTAATTTAATTCTGCTCGAACACGTCTATGACAACTTTTATATGAGATAGCGTAAAATGTGGGTGAAATATTTTTGTAAACGTTACCTCTCAAATTTATTATACAGAAATAAAATCTCGTTTTATTATGTAAGTGAGTTTCTCTCTCTTCTTAGTAACGTATAAAATCATCTTATTCAACAGTAGCCTTCAAATCAAACGTTACCATACAGTGGGCGGTGTTTAAAAAAATAATTAACATGAACAACAGGATGGTAATAATACTTATGTTTTTGTTGTTTTAGTTTCTTGTCAGAAAACGAAAATTGTCTTAAAAAATAAAGACTAGGGATTTCTACAAAACTTCTTTAAAACATTTCTTTACAAACAAAAGTAATCAAAAGTAATTTTATAAGTAATTAAATCTACTAAAATGATACGAAACTGAGAATATAAAAGACGAAATAGTCAAGCCTATAACTGCTAATATTTCAGTCTTCATTTGTTTATTCATCTTATCGCGAAATATTTTTCTGACTGATCTTGAATGTTAGAACTTAGCTCATTTTAAAGTCTGTATTTCCAACTCAGTGGTTTATAGTGGTCCGAGTAACTGGCGAGAACATCACCCTTTTAGTTTTTCTGATGTGACGTCACTGATACGCAAACACCACTACATCAACTAGGGGTATGTGAAGGTCAACCCAAGCCTTGCCTGTGGTGAATGTGAATATTACGTTCTGTATAGAATGTTCTGGAGGCTTGGATTTTGTTACAGATTATTACAAACAAACATAGGATTTTGAGTTTTTTGTTGTACAAGAAACATTGCGCCATGCCTAATATTGGTATTACTATACACTACTTGACGCATCAGATTGCTCATTTAATTTGCTTAAAACTAAAAGTAATGGGTTCAGTCGCAATTGTCTGTTTGCAAATATAGGAGAGTGCACTAGCACTTTCTATGTAGGGATGACACAGACGTTCGTATTAAAGCAATACAAAAGACATCTGAATTTTCTTCTCTATAGGTTATCAGAAACTAGATATGAAGAGCTATCTGGCGTAGTCGCTTTATCTCCGGTGTATATGGCGCTTTTCAGTTATCCAGAGCATCTTAAAGTCGAAAACTGGCGAATAACTAAAACCGCGATTTCATATTCTTGTTCGTCATCATCTTTCTTCAACAGGCCTAGCGCCTACCTAGTTCTAGCAGTAACTATGATTTTATCATGTGATAGAGCAAAACAGTCTTCACGATCGTTGATTACCTATTTTATTATTATTCTATGCAATATTAAAAAGAAAAATCATACTTATAGTGTAAACGATGTTATTACCCCTAGAAGTTAGCTTTTATAGAGATATACGTGTTTCGTTGAAAAGCTTAAGTACAGAGTGAAACAGGAATTACCAGCCAATAATAGATGAACATGAGATAACTGTAACATATAGAATACTCAATGCTTTGTACAATATACAATCGGTGTCTTTATGTAGCCAACCCTTATGTTATGTATACACCTGGAAAAAAGTTAAGCACCCCCAAATATTTTTCAGGATTGCTTATTGAAA